AATGTTTTTGTTCATTTATTTTTTTATTATTTTTTCGCTGCTGGCGTACAGTAGTGCGGAGGGACAGTGTCATGTGGCACGTAAATCTCGCGCCGACCTAACGAGGAAATATCCCCGCGCCGGCCGTGCCGCGCTGCGGTGGCCGCAACACACACGCCGTGAAGCACTGCTCGCAAGGGAGCGGCATGCATCATCGTGTCACGGACACGGTAACACATTTTTTAAATATGCACACACACACACACTGCGCGTGGCGCCGGTACGCATGGGGTGTGCGGGCGGAATGGGCGGAATGTGTGCAAAAGGCTTGGCAGTTTCTGCTTCCGCTGTCTGTAAGTGGTCCGTATGTAGGTCAGCTGGCCGGTGAGTTGCGGTACGGCCCATTTGCATTTTGCTAAAGACGGTCTGCCGAAGCTGGCGGTGTGCCTCTCTTGCCCTGGAGAGGGGCCGCGGTGTACTAGTCGAAAGACTGGCATCGAAAGAGTTGTTTTTTTCGTATGTTTGGAAGGAAAAAAATATTGTGTTGAATAAAAGTCTGATGCGCGTTGAACGCGCGTCCGCCGGCAGCTTGGAACAGGCTTCCGATCACAGTCTGCCCTTTTTGTGGTGGATCTCGAGGCCACCCCGAAAGGCCCTCATCAGACAGACCACATCCGCTCCCAGCTCGGCCTAGAGCCACTGCAGGGAAGGGAAGGCCGTGGCCCACAAATGGAAGCGTCGATCGTCACTGATCGGACCGTCTGGGCGGCAAGCCCAGGCTAAAGACAGCTCCAAGGCAGGCCCAGGATAGGCACGACCGGACTTGTTCAGTGTGCCAGCTGCACTGGATCGCGACCCAATTTGGTGATTGCTCGGCTGTTTTTCGGCGGGCCGGCAGCCACGGGCCGGCAGCCACGGGCCAGCAGCCACGGCGCCGCGATGACGAGCATCCGGACGACAGAGAAGTGATGACTGAAGCCGAAGCGCGCTGGAGTGCGCCAGAGCACTGAGAAAAAGTTGCGGAGCTCAGCAGACGATGCAAGTTTCACAGCGTCCTCCACTGCGCGCGCCGTCGCCCCGCCCGCCGCCTGCCAACTGGCTTTTTAAGAAATTAATTAATTCATTAACACTACGCTGCGACACGGTGTCTGCCGCGTCGTACGACAAACTGCAGAGAAAAACGGGAATGGTGACGCCGTTTTAACCGGTTTTCCGTGCGCTGCCTGTCAGTGGCCAGGAAGTGACAACGGAATGGACGGGGCACTTCGGTATTCCAGGAACAACCTGGCACTCCAGCGTGTGTGGGAGAGAAAGAGAGAGAACGATGGGGTAGCGAGACTCTGATTCCAAACACAGGCAGAGGCGGTGGCTCCATACACCTCGACCAAGCGCAAGGCTTCTTTCCGGCAAAAAAGAAAAAAAAACAGTTCCTGGTTTTCCAGGCAGGCTTTGATAAAAACATGGTCGATTTCCAGGAAGGTCCTGAAGAAATGTGTGCAGTGTAAGCGCGGACTGCACCCACACTGCCAAGCCAACCCGCCAGCGCCAAACTTATTCAACGAGGAAAGTTCTTCCCTGCCCTTCACGTCCATCCAACTCGTCTGCGCGTTCTAAGTGCCATCCCCGTGACCCTGGACTCGGCTCGCCGTGTCATCTCGCTCTCTGAACGCCGGCGGGACTGTCTCTGCAGAGCTGCAGCCGGGAGCCAAACCCGCCTGCCGTACGAGCAACTGCTACACAGCTAGAAATATAACCACAAGAAGCCTACAGGAATTCCTGGGTTGTCAGGGAAAAATTGTACTTTCAAAGTACAATGGAACTGACAGGACACTTGCAGTCCAGGTCAAGTCCTAGTGTACTTTGTGCAGTTCTCGTTGTACTTTTTTTACTGTTTTCACTGTACTTGCAGTGTAAAAACGGGGGTAATGTCGGGAGAGTAGCAGTAGAAAGTCGCAAGGCGTTACTCACTTTGAATCTCATTATTGCCCGGCCGGAGGACACGGTTCATGTCGGACAAAAACTCGACGCGTCTTAATTAGATTTGCGAAGGCCGGCAACAACTTGGCGAGGTGTGTGCGCCCCTTTCCTTTTTGCCGTCTTGATCGTAACCCGTTCCCGAGTAATGGCGCTGTAAAAGGCGTGCCAATTGCACAGGAAAAAATAAAACAAAATCACTCTCGCGGCGCAATGGGGCGGCATATGCACTTTGCAGTAGCGCCGAGTGCCGATGGAAGGCTGCAACTCGTTTCGCAAAACTTCATTTTCCTCGTCGGTCGCTCGGCTCGCTCGGCGCAGCACGGGCTGAATCGGAAGGAAAGGTTTTGCATGTAGAGTGGCCGACATTGCATTAAAGCGCGCAATTTCCTTTCTGTGTTAAGGTTGCTCAGCGAATCCGACCCGCGGGGGAAGGTGGCAACCCTACAGTGGGACGGCCCCAGAAGTAAAACGGTTTGACCGCCGGGGGCGACGCTCAGGTTGGCCGGCCCCCCTCGCCTCGCCACTCCGCCGGGGCATTGAGTATTCATGAAGTCCCTGTCGAGTCATGTTTTTATTTCGGCGCGAGCGGGCAAGGCTTCTATTAGTGTTTATCATAACTCATTTTTGGCGCTCGGGCCCTGCGCACTGTCCTGTCGGTGCAGGGTGGGCTTGCCGCGCGCCGCAGGGACAAGAGACGAAAGGGAGAGGACAGGGGTCCCCTGGGCGTCGGCGAGGGCAAGGGTGGCCCCGCTGGGTGGCCCCGCTGGGTGGCCCCGTTGGGTGGCCCCGTTGGGTGGCCCAGGGCGGCCGCCCTAAAGAGTGGCCAGGCGAGAAAGGCCAGCAGAAAAAGGAAATGATGAAAGAGAAGAGACAAGACAGTGGCGCGGCCCAACGTAGATGACTTCCCCGCCGCAGATGTGTCGGTGGGGCGTCCGGCCTGCCTCCCCTTCCTGCCTCGGCCCCGTCCCCGTCCACGGCCCCGGCAAGGCTCGGCACACTCCGGGGAGCGCTTGGTGCTGCGCCGCGCTGCGCAGTGCCCCGGTGGCCTGAGTAGGTTTGGTGTTGCCCACCCCCTCCTTGCCGATTCTTTTTCATCTGGTGCGTGTTGCAAGGAGGCAGGACGCGCCCTTCAAAAAGCCCCCGTTTCTTTGCCGGCCTGCTGGCGAGGCTGGCGGGGCTGGAGCTGGGCCCCCCGAAGGAGGGCGTCTGCAACACTGACTGCGCGGCGCTCAGCTGAGCGTCTGGGCGGCTGGGCCATTAACGGACTGGCCCACATCCTAAAGCCCAAAGTCTCTCTTTCGGCCATTTTTTTCCGGCAGCGCCGCGCCACGCCGTCGGCAGCGCAGCAGTGCCGCGGCAAAGTTGGTGGAAAATTTGGCGGGATGTTGGACGGTATTGTGAGGCGGCGGGCAGGCGGGCCGGCCGTTACTGGGACGAGGCTCATTAGCATGTAAACGCCCCTTAAACTGGCCGCCGTACTTCTTATTCTCGGCCGGATTGTCGTGAGCGGCCCGAGCGGCCCGGCTTGTTTTCATCCCGGGTTAACCTTGCCGGCCGTGCCGCCCTCGGCCCCGTGTCACTGGCGGTGCACAGTGGGCCAGAAGACCGGTGGAGGCAGCCATTCTAGACGTGTTTTGAGTTCCAGAGTCACCAAACAGGGCTCGAACCTAACGTGTGACACCCACCAATGGATTGCTCTCCAAACGAGGAATCCATTGGTGGGGTCACACCGGTTCAAGTCGTGCTTAGCGACTCTGGAGCTCAAAACACTTCTAGAATTTTTGCCGCCTCCACCGGTCCTCTGGCCAACTGCGTGGTTGTTCCCTCGTGGGCTCCACTCCTGGAAGCGTTTCCACATCCAAAGACCTCAAATGGGTCTCGAATTGAAGTCATGGTGGTGATGTCTGTTGGTGCTACCGTAGCTTTGGGTTGACTCCAGGTTGCGGACTGAAAACGTTGCCCGGAGTCTGCGTCCTCTAAACTGGTCCCCACTGTGGTCGCGCCGCGCCCGCAGCGCCGCTGCAAGTGGTTGCGTGCGATTGTTGGCCGCGATTCCAGCGTCTCGTCAAGAAGCAGATGGACTCCGGCCGGGCGGCGACGTGTGGCGTGCCCTATCTCCGGACATCTTCCGCGCGACCTCCACGGCCTGCAGCAGCTTCGCCAGCGCCGGGGCGTATTGTCGGGCAGCAGCGCGACAAACACCAACACCGCCGCGGGGCAAGCGGCAAAACCTCCAAGTTTTCCTTGCCGTGTTTGTTTTGGGAATTTTCATCGCCGGCTGCTGCTGCTGACCTTGGGCCGGTTTAAATTACCGCGCGCGTCCCTCTGGCGTGGGGGACGGGGTTCGTGGTGGGCAGGGCGTGTTCCTCACTTAGAGGTCCCTCGTGTTGCCGCCACCTGAGACTCACACGCGCGGCGGGCGGTGCTATAAATATGCTTTATTCGCACGTCAGGGTCGCCCTTTATTAATGCGATGTCCACGTCGCTGCTCGGCGTGGCGTGGCGCGGCGACGCCGCCCATATTGGCGGACAGCGGCGGCGCTCTTATTACAACTCCTGATTAGTTTACGCCGCGGCGGCCGCGGAATCGTGCGGAATTTCTGTTTCGTTTTCCCGTTGTCTCGCGCTAATGTGGAGATACGACGCGTGCCCTGGCCCCGCCTCGGTCGGAAGGCAAGACCGTGCGGCCGCCGAGGACTCCGTTAGAGAGGACTCCGCGCGGCGCGCGCGGCGCGGGGAGGGACGAGTTTTGCTGCGGTGGCTGCCTGCCTGACTGGCTGCCTGGCTGTGGCATCTCCCCAGAGCCACAATACAGACTCGCCGGCGCCGCCAATTATTGAGATGTGTGTTCTGTTTGTTGATCCGGCTCTCCCGGGACCTCCCCGCCCTCCCCTCTCGGCGCCCTCCTCCGGGCCTCCGCCCCTTTCGCCACTATATCTACCTTGCTCCTCAGAGATCACCCCCACCACCACCACCACGGCCAACATCGTCATCGCCGTGGCCACGAGGACACAGTAAACAAGGTCCCCGTTTTGGTGTTGCAGTGCCGCCAGACATCATCTCGGACGACTCGTCGGCGGACCTGCACGTCCAGGAGGGCGACAACGCGACGCTGCACTGCAAGGCCACCGGCCACCCGACGCCCAGGGTCACCTGGCGGCGCGACGGCGGCGAGCCCATCCTGCTGCGGCGCGGCACCAAGGAGCTGTTCACCGGTGAGCCCTTTTCCATTTTCCGCAGGTGCGCCACGACGGCGGCCTCGACGGCGGCCTCGACGGCGACCTCGCCTGGAACTAAAACGCCGCGCGCCGTGCTCCTTAACGACAACGGCAAGTCGGCCCTCACGTCCGCGATGACTATTAGCGGCAGCACTACGCCGCCCCGCGCGGCACGCCGAGCCGGCAAAAATGCTTTTCTCTTTTTCCGTCAGCGCAAAAAGTTTTCCTGACGACGTCCCGCCGTGGTCGTGCGCCTGGAACGTGGAAGTGGCACCAGGCCGACGGGCAAACTTCTCACATATCGTTCCGGCCGAGTGGCAGCCCGCCGAGTGCCCGAGCACCGCGACGAGCCCTCGGCGACGACCGCCGACGCACGAGTCCGGGTTACTGAGCGCAGGATTAGCAGGGAAAGGTGACCGTTTGAGTCGCACGGTCGTGGACAAAGGGACCCGTCGCTACTCCGCGCGCGCGAAGCTGTTTGTGAGACCAGCGTTGAGAGTTCGCCGCACGTGGGGTAGTGACGACCCGGTTCTCTTGGACACGGTGACAGTTACATCCTTTCCCAACTAAAAAGCTCTGAAAGTAGTTGCTCGGCATATTTCTGGCGACGCGGGTATGAAAATAGTTGCAGCGACTAGAGTAGGGGGACATGGGGTTGGCGGAGTTGGCCCGGCTAGCAGGGTATTGCGCGCGTTCTCGCCCTTCTTGCCGTCCTGGAGGATGCACCCTGGAGCACGAGGTCCTGGTCCGTGCGCTTACGCAATAAAGGGTCTCGCATGCCGACCTAGCGGACGCTCTAGCGGAAGGTCTAGCGGTCGCTCTAGTGGACGGACTCGGCTCGAGCGAGGCTAGCGAGAGTTTGCATGAAGATGAGCCCCACCGTCACGCGGAGCGGGGACGGGGGCGAGTCGGGAAGAAGCTCGGAACGGTTGAGCAGGGAACCTCGACTGGCCTTGAGAGGGACGCAAAATGGGTGCATTAGTGTGACGCAGTCAGTACGCAGGACGTGGGCGGCAGCGCTCCTAAGTCAATAGGTCTGGAGAAGGAAGTGTGCCCAGGGCAGTGTTTGAACCCGGGCAGCCGGCCGGCCGCGGACCGCCAGTCCCTCGGCCGGACGGCCGGACATTTGGGGCAGCGAGGGTCACCGGGCCCGGCCGGGAGGTCCCCGAGCTGCCCACCTGGCCCGGCCGGTCGTCCGCCGCCGTGCCGCCGCCGTCCGCACTACTGCGAGACGCTCACCAAAGGGACGGCCTCGGTGGGGCCGAGGCGGCCGCCATTTAACAAATGAAGGGGCACGCCAGTCGCCCATTACGATGCCCGCCCTTACAAAGCGCGCGGGGGGCGGAGAGAGAGAGAGAGAGAGAGAGAGAGAGAGAGAGAGAGAGAGAGAGAGAGAGAGAGACGGGATAAAAGTGTCGCGCGTCACGTCAGAGCGCTGGAGGAGGGACGGCCTGTAATGGACCGAAATAGAGGTGGAGGGGGCGGCGCGAGGACGGCGTGGACGCGCGGGCAAACAAATCAAAATGAAGACTCGTCCCGGCAGCACGGGGTAATACACCGGTTTCCTTCTTTCGCGCCGCGGGGGTTTTCCGAGGGGTGCGGGGTGCGGCGGGGCGGGGGTGACAGCTTTATGTTGCCTCATATTTCCAGAGGCGCACGCCACGGCCGCCGCCGCCGTGGGCGCTTTCCCGAGCTCTGTTTTTGACTTCAACTTGGCCCCGCTCGGTCAGGCTTCGCCGCTTCGCCCGTCCGCCTCCCCTTACTGCTACTCTTATCCCCAAGGCGGGAGGGAAGGGCTCAGGTGAAGGAGCGCCGCCGCTCGCTGCCGCGCTGCCGCGTCGCTTGGCTGGCCGGCGGACCCTGGGCCGGCGGACCCTGGGCCAGGAACAAGCCCTGGGGGGTCGTCCATTTAGTGCGTACGCAATAAAGGAAGGGCCGGCCGTCGTGTGACTTGGCAGCCCCGCCGCCGAGGAAGCCAAGGATCGCCGAGTGCTCGCCTTGGTGCTCGCCTTGGTGCTCGCCTTGGTGCTCGCCTTGGTGCTCGCCTTGGTGCTCGCCTTGGTGCTCGCCCAGGTGCTCACCTTGATGCTCGCCTTGGTGCTCGCCTCGGTGCTCGCCATGGTGCTCGCCTTGATGCTCGCCTTGATGCTCGCCTTGGTGCTCGCCTTGGTACTCGCCTTGATGCTCGCCTTGGTGCTCGCCATGGTGCTCGCCCTGGTGCTCGCCCTGGTGCTCGCCTTGGTGCTCGCCTTGATGCTCGCCCTGGTGGTCGCCCTGGTGGTCGCCTTGGTGGTCGTCTTGGTGCCCGCCTTCGTGGTCGCCCTGGTGGTCGCCTTGGTGGCCGTCTTGGTGCTCGCCTTGGTGCTCGCCCTGGTGCTCGCCTTGGGTGCTCGCCTTGGTGTTCGCCTCGATGCTCGCCCTGGTGGTCGCCCTGGTGGTCGCCCTGGTGGTCGCCCTGGTGGTCGCCCTGGTGGTCGCCCTGGTGGTCGCCCTGGTGGTCGCCTTGGTGGTCGCCTTGGTGGTCGCCTTGGTGTTCGCCTTGATGCTCGACTTGGTGCCCGCCTTCGTGGTCGCCCTGGTGATCGCCTTGGTGGCCGTCTTGATGGTCGTCTTGGTGCCCGCCTTGGAGGTCGCTCTGGTGATCGCCTTGCTGCTCACCTTACCTTGGTGGTCGTTTCAGTGCTCGCCCTGGTGCTCACCTCGACGCTCGTCTAAGCGGTCGCCTTGGTGTTGGCCTTGGTGTTGGCCTTGGTGGTCGCCTTGGTGGTCGCCTTGGTGGTCGCCTTGGTGGTCGCCTTGGTGGTCGCCTTGGTGGTCGCCTTGGTGGTCGCCTTGGTGGTCACCTTGGTGGTCACCTTGGTGGTCACCTTGGTAGTGGCATTCGCGCTGGCCTTGGTGGTGGCCTTGCTGCTCACCTTGCCTTAGTGATCGCGTTGCTCGCCTTGTCTTGGTGGTCGTCTCAGTGCTCGCCCTGGTGCTCACCTCGATGCTCGTCTTGGTGGAGTCGTTGCCGCAGCCCGGTGGCGCGAAGAGGGCTTCCCTCGCGTCATCGCGGTGCGACGCGGTGCGACGCGGGTCTGGTGCGGGAAAGCGACGGTAATCCTGGCCCTAATCCGCGACCCGCGTAACTCAAGCTCGGAGGGACACTCGATGCCGGCCGCGGCTCCGGGGACCAGACTTCCAGTGTGTCGTCGGCGCGGAATGGCAGTGCGGGCAACGCGGCAACGCGTTACGGCGTGCTGGGGAAGCGGGCGAACCAGGCCAACCCCCAACGCTCCAACGCGAGCGTGTAATTTATTTTTCCTCCAAGCAGCGCAGCGCGCCGCCGCCGCGGCCCTACAGCGGGTCTCAGGTGTCATTTTTCCGGCCAGTGCTCCGGACTCATTTCATTCCGCAGCGCGGCGGGTTGTTCATCAGGAGGGACTTGTGCTGGCAACGCCTTGTGCGCGCGCGTGATCAGCACGTGTGTGTGTGTGTGTGTGTGTGGAGATGAGAGCCGACTGGAGGCCCACGTGTGTCGCACCTTACGGCTCCGCCCCGCCTGGGCTAGGCTGGGGCTTGGCTTGCTGCTGGGCCGGGGGCTTTGGCTCCCTCATCCTCACAGTCGGAGTAATTTCGCTGCTGTAGCTGCGCGCTGTGGCGGTAGTCACCTTGCACCGGGGCCCATCTGGCCATCTGCGTGCCCAACAGCTGCACCGCCGCACAGGTGTGTGTGTGTGTGTGTGTGTGTGTGTGTGTGTGTGTGTGTGTCTGCGTGTGTAAGAGAGGGGGTGCGTGTGTGTGCCCGCCCAATGGCTCCGGTCTTAATCAAATCCCGTCTTGGCGCGCGGCCTAACGCGACGGCGAAGAGAATTAGCCTCGTGTGCACACTGTGCAGGCCTCATAACCGGTGGCGGTGGCGCAGCGCGGCTATGCGGACCGATTGCACGGCAGTGGAAAGGAAAGTCGGCAAAAAAATAAAAATAGGAACGGAATGGCTGTGGAATGAAAAGAGTGAATTGAGTGAAAACGAGGGAAACCGAACCGCAGCGCGGCCCACAGTTGCAGCGAACGGAATTCAATAATAGTTATGGCTGCCGGATATGACCCAGCGCGTTGAGCGCGCCTGCCCCGGGGCTCTGAATTCCGAGCATAGCAGCTCCACGGCCCGGCCTCCTCGGCCAGGCCTCCACGGCGGCCACTCTGACCAAGCGACGGGGTCACGCGCTGGCGGTCTCGACCAAGGCCTCGACCGTGACGACCACCTTCAACAGCAGCCTAATAAGAGGCTTGTCGTCTCGCAATCCATTATGAGTTAAGTCGGGCCTTTTCCTTTGTGCCATTACCGAGCAAAGAGGATTCCGTTGCCCCTCGGCCGCGCCTCGGCCGCGCCGCCACACTGGCTGGCGCGAGCTGGCGTGGGCACTGCAGACGCACGCGTGCAGGCACGTGCAGGCGGGCTGCCTACCCCCGGGCCAGGCCGGCAGAGGCCAGCTTTCCCGAAACAAAACAAACTTTGCTCTCGCCGCCGTTTTATACCTTTTTAGTGTGTTTTCTTTTTCTGCTGTTATTTTTCGCATCGCGCGTTTGGTGCGGTGAGCGGTTTTGTGACGTCGCCTGAAAAAAAAAGACGAAGTAATAGAAGAAAACAAAAAAAAAAAAAAAGAGACAGAGAGAGGCGCGGAGCGGGCGAAGAAAAGAAAAGGAAGATGGGAAATAAAAGTTGGCAGCTGGCGTCGTCGTTGGGAGATGGCGCTGCATTCGTTAACGCTGCCGCGCTTGCGGATCATTACACAGTCGCAGCTACGAACGCCACCAAGCCCCGCCCCGCCGCCCCTCCCCGCTACACGACAAAGAGCTCGGCACCACGCCGGGCCGGGGCGGGGCGGGGCTCGCTGCGGGCAGACAGCGCAATGCACCCCACTGCCAGTGCTCCCCTCAGGGCGCCTCAGGGCCCCCGAAGGACAGCTAAAGGGTCTCTTTAGGGCACCTGGCCCGGGCCTCGTGGCCCCGTCCGCGCGCCCGTCCGAGCTGCAAGGGCTGCAAGTGCTCACAGCTGTTGCACCGGTTTGCACGCTGGCGGCGAGGCATTCTGACTTGCCACGCCTTTTGGCGGCCAAGGCTGGTCGCGCGGCTCAGCTCTCAAAGGGTGAGGACTGACGGCGTCGGACGCACAGTGAGCCAGAAGACCGGTGGAGGTGGTCAAAAACCCGGACCGACCCGGACGCGTTTTGAGCTCCAGAGTCGCCAATAGGACCCGAACTGAACGTGTGACCCCACCAATGGATTCTTCGTTCTCCGAACGACTGTCCAGCTCAAAACGCGTCCGGGACTTTGACCGCCTCTCCGGTCATCCGGCCACTGTGGGCCGGTGAGGGAGTGGAGGCGGGCCGACCGAACGCTGTGAGGGCAGCCAATCATTAATGTCGAAGCGGCGCTGTATCGCCACCGCGCTGCAGTCCGCCCTGCCGGCCCTGCTGAATATTCAGGGCGGCCAGTCGCACGGCGAAGTGGTGAAACCGGCCGGATGGACTGGCGCGGCGCGGCGAGGCGAGGCGCGGTGCGCGCCACCTGCTAGGGGACGGAGACAGATTGCCAACTCCGAAAGCGACCCTCGGAGGTTTAGAACCGCCGCGCTAGGCCGTTCTGCCGCGTTCGGACGGCCCTTCTCGATTGGGGGGGGGAGGCAGACGGTGGCGTAATCCTGATTTGCACACCCCAAACTTTCCTGTCCAACGACGCTGGAAATTGTTATACCTCCGCGTCGTCGGCCTTCCAGACTGCCGCCCACTAGGCCTGCTCGAAAAGCGGACCCGTATTTACACGAACGCAACGCAAATTTTGCCACTGTCTTTTAAATTTTCCGCGTTCCCTTTCTCCCTTTTTTCCGGTGTGTACACGGTCTGAAAGACAGAGGGCACTTGTAAACCACTACCGTCGTATGGTCCTCCCTCCCCCTCCCCCTCCCCTCCCCCCATTCTCATCTCGCTCGCCGCGCGGCCGCCTTCCAACAAAGACAACGGATCCCCGCACTTGTTCATTTCCTGCTTTATTTAAGCGCCCCGCTCGCGGACGGTCTCCGAGCCGCAAGTGGTGGTGGCGGTGGCGGCGGTCGAGTCCCCCCCCCTCCCCTTTCCCCCCACCCGAGGCCTTGAGCTGTGTGCCCACTACTGTTTGCATTTCCACTCTGCGCCGTGCCAATATGACTGCGGCCTGCCCCACTGCATCTTTCAGCGGCCGCGGGGCGCGGGTCTCGGAAAGGGTCCGCCATGAAATAGGCAGCGCGCTGAGGACGAGTCCGTCCCGCGCCGCTCGCTAGCCTCGCTAGCCTCGCTCAGGGAAGCGACGCATGCAGCCTGCTGTATTATGCCCGCGTCCCGTCCCGTCCTGTCTTGCGGCGGCGAGGCGAGGAGGCAGGACTTGGGGACGGAAACGTCGCATCGAGGGGTACGTGCACTTTGAAAATAGAGGTACTCTGGCTGGTCATTTGACTGAAATTCCGCTTCAATTGGATTAAAAATTCGAAAAATACCGTAGATTAGAAACGTCGAGGAAAGAGAGGATCAATGAACAAGTTCGAGCTCCAACTTATCGAAATGCTAGAACAGAGTTTTCCATCTTGGCGTTTTGAGATTCCTTCAAACCCGGCCGCAACGACCCTTGGTCCTCGCAGTGTGTCGCAGTGCGTCGCAGTGCGACACCGGGCAGCGCAAGGTGGAGGTGACTGCAGCGCAAGGCCGCGTGGGCCGCGGCCCACTTATGGCGACGCCGCTGCAACTCAAGCCCCTCCAGCCCCGGCCGCCACCCGGCCGCCCTTAACCGCATTACTGGCATCACTTTAACCGCATTACTGGCATCACTTTAAACCTCGCCCGTGCCGCCGGCAGTCAAAAGAGCGCGGCGACCCTGGGCGCGGGTTCGAATCCCGCCGCGTCTCAAAGGGCGGGCCTCTTTTTTTTTCCTTTTCGGCGTTAGCGCGGGGTAATCCGCCTTGCGTCTTGGCTGGCCCAGCTGGCGGCACGCGGTGGGCACACGGCGCGGGACAGACAGCTGTATTTGCGAGGCCAACGTCCTGCCGGCGGGGCGGGGCGGGGCGGGGAGGCGTGTAAGAACGGCTTAAAGGCGAGGGCCGCCGGATCCGTGCACTTGCTCGCACTTGGCCGGGCCAAACTTGGAGTTCCTCAACCGGCTTAAAGTGATATGTAATCAAGCCGTGGCTGGTCCCTCGTCCTTGTGTTTGACTTGGCCGGAGCGTGATCCACCCACCGCCTTCTCCACCGGCAAACAAGGGCCGCGCGGCAAAGAGAGCCAGCGGGACGCAGCGGGACTCGCCCGGAGCCGAGCGCAGCAAGCGGAGCCAGCGGGGCGGGGCGGGGCGGGGCGGGGCGGGGCAGATGAGCCGTTGTGCGCACACCGTCCGCTCGGTCCGGCCCGTCGTGTCCAGGGTCCTGCCGGCGCAGTCCCGCTTTGAAAAGTTTCTAAAAATAAAGCAGGGGAAATGAACGCCGCTGACAGCAGGGCCGCGCGCTGCCGAGCGGAAACGAATAATAAAACCCGATGTGTGTGTTGCAGTGCCCAGCGTCAACTCGACCAGCCTCACCTTTTGGAAGACGGACCGCCAGATGATGGGCGCCTTTCTCTGCATCGCCTCCAACGACGTGCCGCCCGCCGTCAGCCGGCGCGTGCAGCTCAACATCAACTGTGAGTAAGGTCCGACGTCCGGGAATAGCAGCAGGAAAAGCGGCGGCAAAGTCAGCGAGGCACGTGGCGCCAACAGGAGAAACACAACGGGATTTCCGGGGGACTAAAAACAGGAGGCGTTTTATAACCGGTTGGTGGGTCACAGCCCGGCCGCCCGCCACACAGTGGGCCAAACGACCGGCAGAGGCGGGCAAAACTCCAGACGCGTTTTGAGCTCCAGAGTCGCTACATGGGGCTCAAACCGAACCTGTGACCCCACCAGTCGATTGCTCTCCGAACGAGGAATCTATTGGTGGGGTCACACGTCTGGTTCTAGTCCCATTTAGCGACTCTGGAGCTCAAAACGCGTCGAGAATTTTGTCCGCCTCCACCGGCCTTCTGGCCCACTGTGCGCGGCCGCGGCCGCTCGCCGGGCGGGCCGGCAGGCCGTTCCTCTGGGAGGGATGTGAGGCGTTAGCCACCATTACGCGTATAATGCGCTTTTGAAATATGGACAAGGCGGCATAAACAAGGGAGATAAAGGCGGGCGCCCCATCGGGGCTCCATAAAGCAAGTGATATTGAGGCGGGGCCAGGCCGGGCCAGCGCGGCGTGGTCGTGGAGGCTGACGGGGGTCTTCAAGGACTGCAGCGCTGGATCAACTTCTCGTAACCATGCGGGCCTATAGCGGGGTCGAGCATAAATCTGGTTTTAGCCACTCTCGGGAGGTGGACCGTACTTACACGATGCCCCCCACCCTCAGTGGCTAATTTACGGGCGGCCCCTAAATCATACATCCACACGGCCGCCGTGCCGCCACTTTACTGCTGTCGGTAATCCCGCCGGCCTCGGCCCTGCCCGGCCGGCCGCGTAAAACCCGGACGAGATGTTGATTAATTAGACGCCATCCTCGGGGAAACTTTCGGAATCTTGTCCGAGCGCGGCGCGGCGCGGTAAGGCGAGGGGGAGGGGAGAGGCCAGCGCCGCTCCGCTCGGCCCCGGGCAAGGCTTGGGGCGAGGGCGGATAAGAGAGGACCGCGCCAGACGAGCAAAATGGCCGTGATTCACTCCGGGCGGGTCGCGCGGCCTCGCCGCCACCGCAGGTAGCACGTGATCCTCTTTGGCGGCGTTCAGGAGGTCGGCGCGGCCCGGAGGACCCTGTGCGGACACGCTTGGAGACAGTTTCCCCGCCCCAAAGTCACCAAAAGATGCCAGCGGCACCGACAGCTGCCTCGTCGACACTTCCTCCATTCAAGGGATTCCAAAGGATGCGGCAGTCAAAACGAGTCCCACTAACTCGTCTCTCGGTGCGCAAGGTACTACGTTCCCGCTGTGCAGGAGTCGGCGCGCCGAGCGCCTGCAAAGAGCAGGGTAGGCAACGCAAGACACGCCTGCCCGCCGGGTTGCCTACCCGCCGCTCCGCAGGGGCTCGGGTGGTCTAGCCCGTAATGGTAATGGTAATGGCAGGGTAGGCAAGGCACTGCACGCCTGTTCGCCGGGTTGCCTACTCGCCACTCCACAGGGGCTCGGCGCCGAGGCGGAAATTCCACGGGTATCATCCCGAGTTCGCTTCCAGGTTCGTAGGACTGCACACCTCAAAACGCGGTACCGTAGTTTGCGCTCCTGGCCCGCCGCCCCGGCCGCCGCGCGGTGTGCCGCGCGGTGCGGGCCGCAACACCAGTAATTGTGTTAGCGCCGCGATCAGGGCCGCGGAGCTCATTTCGCCGCGCCGGGCTGCGTGGCGTGGCGGGGCGGGGTGTGGCGGGGGCGGCCCATCCTTTGTCGCCGCGTCCCGCCCCGCCGCCTCCCCGTGGCCAAATTCCGCTTTTGCCAAACAAAGAGCAGCGCAACGTAATTGTGGAGTGAGGCCGGCAGCCGGCCTGTGCCGCCGCGGCGCGCCGTGCTGCTGGTCGTGGCGCCCTCGTCCCGCACCAGGCGCGGCGCGCTGTCCGTGCCGCGGGCAGGGCGAGGCCGGGGCCACGCAGATTGCCCGGGGCTGGCGATGCTCGCGTGCCGCCGCGTGCCGCGCACCCTCTTTATTCCGAGCTTGTTCGTATCGCAGCCTCGCCGGGCGGGCTGCCGGGCGGGCTGCCTATACGGCTCCGCCGACAGGGGTACTGAGCCGGGGTACCGTCAGCAGCCCGGCCCCGCCCCGCCCCGCCCCGCCCAGCCACGACCCTCGTCAATGTAAAATGCGGGGAGCGCCCCACCGGCCCCACCGGCCCACCCCACTGTACTGGCTCCGTTTCGCAGAACGCGCGCACGAAACCTCAAAGGCGTCCTCCAGAGCGTCCTCCGCTCCTCCCCTGCCCGGAAAACACTCGTCGCGGCGGCCGCGCAGTGCGTCAGCCTGGCGCGCTCCATATTAAGCCCGGACCAATATCTCCGCGCAGCAGCGCTTGATAAACAAAACTTCGGCCGCCTTCCTCTCGCCTCCCCTTGCCTGGAGACGCGACAGGGCGCCATGAGGGCACGCAGGCTGGCCGGGCAGGGGTGCCGGGGCGTTGTCGGGCCACGTCGTCTGGCACGGCCGGTGTGCGGCAATAGATCCACCCCCCCGGTAAAAGAACCGGGGGGTGACTTTACCGCGGGATAAAACCACTGCCCTTGGCTGACTCCTGAGAAGGGGTGGTTTTATACCGAGGTAAAGTCACCCCCCTGCTGGTCCTGGGGAGTGGTTCTATCCCGTGGTAGAACCACCCCCCTAGCTGGCTCAGGGGGGTGCATGTATCACGGGATAAAACCACCCCCCAAAGACGGGGAGTTACTTTATCACGGGATGAAACCACCCCCAAATTTGCATATTTGACGGGTTTTAACAGCACTTCTCACCACACGGTAAAACGAAAGCCTCACACTTAATTACTATGTAGTTTTTTCTGCGCGCCAATGCACGAAATTAAACATGCACTTCGTAACGCACGAATTTGTGCGCGACAAGAAACGATTTCGTGCGTGAGTATGCAGAAAATCGTGCATTGTCGCGCACAAATTCGTGCGTTACGAAGTGCATGTTTAATTTCTTGCATCGGCGCGCAGAAAAACCTTCATAGTAGTAATTTGGTGTGTAGAATGCAAACAAAAAAATCGCGAAGGTGTTTGCAATACAAAGCTGGTGAATATTACGTTTCCAAAGCACTTTCGTTTGCAAGCTTTCAAGTATGCGCCCCAATTTTGGGTGTACAATCTTCTGGAGACGGAAAAAAGCGTAAAGATGACCGGGACGCTCTCCCGTAAAATATGCGAAATATGGGGGGTTGTTTCATCACGAGATAAATGACCCACCATTTTCAGGGGGGGTGCTTTAATCACGGGATGAAACCACCCCCCGGTGGTTCTATCCCGTGATAAATGCACCCCTCTGAGCCAGCTAGGGGGGTGGTTCTACCACGGGATAAAACCACCCCCTACACGGATCAGGGGGGTGACTTCACCACGGGTTGAAACCACCCCTCTCAGGAATCAGCCTAGGGGGGGGGGGTGGTTTTATCCCGTGGTAAAGTCACCCCCGGTGCTTTTTCCAGGGTGGGTGGATCTATAACCTCACACCGGCCCATGAAATTGAAGGTGGGGGGGGGGGGGAGAGACCCCCGGCCGAGCCCATCCAGCGGGAAGCATATATGGAGGCCCCTCAGCCACATCAAACACGCGGCCGGGCCCCCAGGCCCCCCCCGGGTCCCCCTAGGTTCCCCAGCCCGCACACAATCGGGCGGCAACCCTAATAAGCCGTGTGATGGCGGCGGGGCGGGGCGGGGCGGGCGCGCCCTGCCGCTTTGCCCTGCCGTGTCCCTGACGCCCACCCCCGCAGTGCCACGCCCGCCCCATCTCCGTGCCCCCGGGCTGGCTGGGGCGCAGCAGCGGGGCGCAGCGGGGCCCCAGGTAGCCGCCAGCCCTACAAGGTGTCGCCAAGTTTACCCCCTGCAGGCCCTGCAGGCAGCGGTGGCCTAGGCCGCGGCGCGCCCAACCACGGCACAACACAGCACGGGGTTGACTGGAGTGGCCGCGCCGCCGCGCTGCTTGTTTTGCCCGCACGTGACGCCTGTTTTCGTGTTGCAGTCGCGCCGCACATCGAGGTGCCCAACCAGCTGCTGGGCGCGCCCATCGGCACCGACGTCAAGCTGGAGTGCAGCGTGGAGGCCTTCCCCAACACCATCAACTTCTGGCTCAAGAACGGCTTGGAGATGCTGCTGGACGGGTCAGTGCGCCAGGCCGGCGAGCTGCGAGCCCTGCCAAGCTCTGGCACGGCACAATGGGCCAGAAGACCGGCGGAGGTGGCCAAAAACTCTAGACGCGTTTTGAGCTCCATAGGCGCTTAGCAGGATTCGAACGGAGCGTGTGACCCCACCAATGAATAGCTCTCTGAACGAGGAATCCATTGGTGGGGACACACTTTGAGTTACATTTAGCGACTTTGGCGCTCAATACGTGTCTAGAGTTTTGTCGCCCTCCCCCGGTCTTCCGGCCCACTGTGCACGCGGACCGTTCTAACAGCCCGTCGTGTTGCAGCCCCAAGAACTCCATCAGCGAGCACCGCAAGAACTACAAGGTGTTCATGTCGCTGCTGATCCGCTCGTTCCGCGAGGACGACATCGGCAAGTACAGCTGCGTGTCCACCAACTCCCTGGGCCGCGCCGAGAGCACCATCCGGCTCTACGGTAAGCAAAGACTTTCTTTCCTTCGAACACAACACAGCTTAAAGCCCGCAATGCGAAGGAAACGCGAGGTGTATCGTAAAACCCTTCATCATACGAAGCAATTATACTATGCCTTCATTTTCTTCGTAGTTGCAAAGCAAATTTCATACTTTTTTGGAGTCTGTCTGGCCGAGTCTAACCCCGCGCCCTCTTGTTGCAGTCATCAAGCCGGCCGGAGACAGCCCGCTGTCGAACCGCGTCGTGAACGCCGGAGGTAATGTCTCGAGTCCTTGGAGCGAGATTTGTCGGCCAGTCGATTGAACCTAACCAACTGTTTTATGTGTCTGTCGGCAGGACTCGAGTCCCGGGGGGACCCTTCCAGGTCATCGGCGCGAAGACCCCGGCCCCTCTGGCCCTGGAGCTGGCTGGTGGGGGGCGCGGCGCTGGCGGCCTTCGGCCAGGGTCTCGGCCTCTGGCGGTGACCGTAGGCGAGCCTGAAGCCGAAGAGCAGTGCAGTGAAGTGATCGACTACGCACAGTGACTCTAGCGAGCCAAGGAGCAGAGACAAACTTGGGTCATGTATATCTGTGATTGCAGCAGTGTGTAAATATGGTGTACATAGTGAACATAGTGAGGACTTCCCTTGCGAGGATGCAGATTTTCTCCCTCTTCCCGCCGTGTCAGTGTAAAGAGATGGTGAACTTCTTTTGTGCCATTGCATGTAATTATTGTTCTATTTGCGGGTCTGGAAGGGATATATTTTATTACCTTGTCAAATCGCTGTATTCTTCTGTAAAATCTTGTACTTTGTGCCTGCAAAGAAATGCTGTACTTTGTAAAAAATGTGAATAAGAGTTTAAGATGGGTTAGCCAGGATTCGATGGATTGCTTAAACAGACTGTATCGCTATTTGTAATGCATTTCGCTGTGGAGCGGGTCGCTCTTGCGCTTCAGAATTTCAAGCCAAGATTATGAAATCGTGGTTGTGATGTTCGTTTAGAGACTATAATATATCTAATGAATTGTGCCAACATTCGCTTTTCGTCATTCCACAAAGATTTTTGTGTAAATCTTCCGAGACGAGGTGGTTATCGTAGGGAAAAAAAATATATTTAAAGGAAAGTGAATAGAGAAATCAGTGTCTTCGTCAAGTGAGTAGCACAACATAAGAGATGATCAAATTTTCAAGCCAATTGGAAAGGTCCAAAGTTGGCAGGGATTTTCTATATATTTTCATGTTTGTGTTGGCGCTGTTCCACAAGCAATATTTCTTGACTGACGTCACAAAATATTGCTACTTTCAACATATCATGTAAAGTGTTTTTCGCTCGACAACTACCGGCAAAGCCTCGTGTACTTTTGTAGTGTTTATCGCCGTGTCCACGCCACTGTGAAAAGGCCCCTGACAGGTTCTGACTGCAGTTCTGCTTGCGAGACGGGATAGTTACGATGTTAACATGTAGCCTCTCTGGTCCACCTGGTGTGCTTTCTATAGATTTTCTGGAAAATGTAGTATTACCCGTATGACATGCAGTGAAAAACAAAAAGGCATTTTGACAAATTAAAAAAAAAAACTAAGGATGTCTCTGAATCGTTCAAGATTCTGCACCCCTTTATCCCGAGGGAAGGCAGGATCTTAGTCTCATGTCGCTTTTTGCCCTCGCTCGTCTTACCTAGCTGTATTTTTGTTTCCCTTTTTTTTCAAATGGAGAGATTTCGGGGTCACCGTGCCACGCATTCACCGAAATTGTGTAAATAAACCAAGAGCAAAGAAAATCAACGAAAAACGTGTGGTGTGTCATTTTCCCGGCCCGCTGGGCAGCCCCCACACTGACAACAATACCGCCATATCCGTCCACATCCACGCCATTGTCCGCTTTCGCCCCGACATGCGGCAGGCGGCGCGGCGCTGGCCGGGTCAAGCGGAACAACGGACAGGCATGGACGATTAGCGGATTGGCCAGTGATGACGTAGCTGCAATTAAACCGGTAACTTGACTACCTCCCTCGGGCGGATCTCCATTACACGTAATGTCTGCAGACATTTAAAACACAGCGGCCCGCTAAAAGAATGAGGGCGGAAAAAAAGTTGTCTTCACGGAAAACCACGTTGCCCTGTGACTTTGGTTGTAAATTAAATGAGGTTTCCTCTCCCCAGGAGTGTGATTGAGCGTTCCATGGTCGCCAACACTGGACCCCAGTTCGACAACACACACACCGCCCGTTAAATTTCCCTCCTCATTTTCGTCACACACTAATAACTATCACTTTTCTTAAAACGCCATTCTGTATCCAAAACCACCCAGGCTCGCCCAATAACGGCTACAGTGGCGCCGATCTGCTTCATGATCAATAAGGAAGACCTTCCAAAGATCTCGCAAAATTTTGAGAGATTTCATCCGTAACGCGATATCCGTCTCGAACCGGTCTCGAACGTTACCACCGAGATTTTTAGAAGAGGGTCAACAAAGTCCCGTCCGACCGATGCGCTGCAAAAAGCGTTAAGCCCTTGCAGTGTGAGGCGCTGCACTGCACGCTCTCCCCTTGCTGCCGATGCGGCACGAATAAACAGCCCGTCGCGGTTTGCAAACACACTGAGTATTGCTGTGTCCGCGCCGCCCGCGCCGCCCGCGCCGGCCGCCGCCACACCCTACACCGCCTCCCTCCGCGCGGACCGCGGACTCATTAGCGGCGGACAGCACAGTGCTCTCCAGCCACGCTGCAAACGCCAAAGACGCTGCTTTCGTTCGACAGCCAGGAAGACTGGAGACACTGCGAAAATATTCCGAACTATTGAACGTAAAATGCACAGAAAAAAGTACAGAAGTGCCGTATTTGCCAGGTACGGACGGTCCAGGCAAGTGTGGACTGACTAGACTTGTTACGTACTTTTTCTAAAAAAAATTTCTCACAGGGGAGCCTCGGCGCTCACTGTAACTAGGGGTACGCGCCGTTCAGTCTGGGCGCGTAGTGTGGCTGAGCGATGCGAATTGACATGGTTTGTGCACTTTGGACTTTGCTTGAGAAGACGAAATGTGCATCTTAAGGACAGGGGTACAAATGGAAGTGATTTTCGTTATCAGAACACCAAAAACTGCTGGGATCAATGCCAAAGTCGATTTAAAAATTTTGGTCCAAAATTGGTTAAAATTCGGTTAAATGTGAGTCTGGGAAAAGTTTGAAGGTCATTTTTGAGTTCAGCACACCAAAAACTGCAGGAAACAATATAAAACTCGACTTGAAAATTTTGGTCCAAAATGACCTAATTTGGGATGAAAATATAAATCTGGAGTCGAAATGAGAGTGATTTTCGTTATCAGCACACCAAAAACTGCTGGGATCAATGTCAAACTCGATTTAAAAATTTTGGTCCAAAATTGGTCAAAATTCGGGTAAGTGTGAGTCTGGGAAAATTTTGGAAGTCATTTTTGAGTTCAGCACACCAAAAACTGCAGGAAACAATATAAAACTCGACTTGAAAATTTTGGTCCAAAATGACCTAATTTGGGATGAAAATATAAATCTGGAGTCGAAATGAGAGTGATTTTCGTTATCAGCACACCAAAAACTGCTGGGATCAATGTCAAACTCGATTTAAAAATTTTGGTCCAAAATTGGTCAAAATTCGGGTAAGTGTGAGTCTGGGAAAATTTTGGAAGTCATTTTTGAGTTCAGCACACCAAAAACTGCAGGAAACAATATAAGACTCGACTTGAAAATTTTGGTCCAAAATGACCTCGTTTCGGATGAAAATATAAGTCTGATGTCAAAATGGAAGTGATTTTTGCTATCAGCACTCAAAAAACTGCAAGAATCAGTGTGCAATTCAATTTAAAAAATTTGACCCAAAATCGGTTAAATTTTGGGTCTGGGGAAAATTTAGAAGTCAATATTGAAGTCAGCGCACTGAAAACTGCAGGGAAACGCATGACTCTCAAATTAGAAAGTTTCGCCCCAAATTGCGTAGCTCTAGGTGAAAGTGTAGGTTTGGCATTGAAATAAATGTAGCTTTTGTGACTAGTACACTGAAATGTACAAACAACTATCTAGACTCAATTTCTGTACATTCCTACACTGTCTTCATGAAGCACCCTCTGTCATCACCAATTCCCTGATGCCACACCAATGTGAATCCCTCAGTCGAGTAACATTCAATTGCCAGCATTGAATCGCTTAATTGGTTACTCGTATGATTGGGTCACTATTCGATATCTCTTTTTTCTTAACTAATGAATTCTCAATTTTATCAGTAATATCTATGAAACATTTTGTCATTCTTTCATTGTGAACCAGTGAATAAAACAATATTGATTGGCATACGTTATCACAGTTAATATTAAGAGAGTCAGTTTAGGGTAGGCTGATCTGAACCAGTTAACGGGGACCAATTATTGTCAAATCCAGTGATTCGTCATATAGAGTCCAATGCAAAGGCTACCCAGGGCTTAATGAACCGACACAATTTATCTTACTCAGGTATGCAATACTGAGTAGTACCAGTTATATTAACTTCAGTGAAGTGAATGGAATCGTCTCATTAAATCCATTCACTAATTCACTCACCGCTCAAAACCTGAGTCGTCTCTTTGAACCCAATATCAATTCAAACTCTATTAGGATTAAATATACACAACCATACATTGATTCTATTAATAAACACATGTTAGTACTTTTGCACTCTTGTCAGCTTGCAGCATTGCAATAGAATGTATTTATCGAGTCCAAACTAAGTATGCCTGCTAATTTCAACACAAGTTATTTATGCATTTCCCTGATTTCCTCTACTATGAAAATTTAAAAAAGAGGATGACACTATAGAAAATGAAACAAGTACATGCCCACAATACAAAAGGTCAAAATAAAAACATTCTTTTTACACTGCTCTGTCAAAGTGCACTGACCTGAAGAAGATTCCCCTCGAAAGGGGGAGGGGGGAGAGGGGAACGAAACACGTAAATCATTTTCACTGCCATTCTCCATATTTCGCTGTGTTGATACTCTAAAAGGGTTTTGATCATTCTAGAATGTGGAAAAACTATGGCCGATCTCATTTCCAAACCCTTCTGCTCGTTATTTTGGTTTATTTGCTTATTTGCTTCTGTCCCGTATTTGAGAGCCGCGGCCGCAGGTATGAGAAATTCGTGAGTGCTGAGTGCTGCCAACCTAACCATGCTAATAATCTGATTCAAAAGTATGTTTTGAATATTTCAAACGATACTAAACAACGATTTGAAACAAACTCGTGTTGGGGGGTACCAAGGCGACGTTAAATACGAAATCTTGAAACTATAGCCACTGTAGTTGCTGAGAATCGTTGGTGAGTACAAAGTCACAGACAGACAGACGCACGACCAGTCACTTTTCAGCGCGCCCAAACACGGCAAGGGCTTCGCTATCGCTCAGCCAAAAAAGGAGTTTAATCCAAGCAGAGAGAAGTCAAAGGTACTCCCTTAGTCACAACGATGTTACTGAAAATCAACCAAGCTTCAGCCTATTTGACTCTACTTTCTTTTAGTGGTCAAAAGAAATCAGAGAAGCGGGTCACTCAGTTTGTACGCTAAGCTCACGCGCTGATGGAAGCTCGGCAACAGTCCCAGCGTACACAGGCTGCAAATTAGTTGTATCTTACCATTAGATTACCGTTAAATATCCATAAATATTGCCAAAAAAACCGGCTGAAAGCAAAGGTAGCACGAAAAAAATCAACCAAAAAGAGGTAATAATCGGACTTAAATTATCATGTATTCCTTTGTACATGCGCGATTTGACGACCCCTCGCAGCGAAATGCCCCAACGCCAGCAGTTTAGGGCCGGGCATCGAGCGCACAGCGCGCACAGCGGGGTGGCTAGGCTCCCCGACCGCAGCGCACCACCGCAGCACTCAATGGCCGTCCATCGCATCGAGTATGGAGGCAACCGGGCCCAACTTCACTTTATTCTGGCATCAGCGCTTTTTGTTTCGTTTTGCTTTTTATCTGACCAGCGCTGCGCTGTGCTGCTGGCGCAGAGCTTTAGCGGCAGCAGGGCCACGGCTGCGGGCTCGGGCCCGAGGGGCAGGGCAGTGTGAATTTCTCGGGAAGCCTCATCGCCGTGCCAATAATTTTACAGTTCAGTGGTTGGCAGCATCAACCTGCCGCCTTTCTATACGTTATTCCGATTCCGGATAACTCTGGAAATAGCAGACTGGTGGCGGCTTCCCCGCACACATTCGGCGGGCTGCTTCGGTGACAGCAGGGCGTCGGGGGAAAAGGATAGCCCACCATGGCCGCCACGGCCGAGGCCACGGCCCACCGATGCCCGCCGCGGCGCCGCCCGGCGCACACAGGGCGCAGTAATTGCTGCCTTGCAATAGCCGGGCCGCTTCAGCGATAAACAGACCTTCAGTGATTTAGTGGCCACTGGCTGCCGGGCTGGGCTAGGGGCTTCACCCTAGTGCTGCGCCGCGCTGTCTCTCTCGCACCGCAACGGGCCGCCGCGTGGGTGCGAGAGAGACAGAGCGACGAAAGCGCACGGTTCGGAATCGGTCTGCAGTCCCGCCGCGCTGCCCGGCGCGATGTAGGGCCGCGGTCGGCCTACACTGCATGGTGCTGTCCCTGCGGCCTAGGGGCGCGCGCGGGAGGGAGAGAGAGAGAGAGAGAGAGAGAGAGAGAGAGAGAGAGAGAGAGAGAGAGAGAGAGAGGGGGGGGGCGACTCATCGCGGCCTCGCGGTGGGCCAGACAGAGGCCGTCAGACAGTGGGCGTACGCGTCCAGGCCCGCTGGCCGGCGGCCCCCGCGAGTAA